AAAAAGAGGGTGAAAAATAGAGAGAAAATAGGGGGTACTTTATTGTGGGAWARGTTTTTTTTTATTTACTTTAGTAATTAGYGTATATATTTGTGTTAAACATATATTGGTTAAAAGATAGTTGTTTAATTAATAATTAGTATATGATTGGTGAGTTTGTTAAAGTTACAGTGTTAGTAATGTTTATAAGTACTAGCCACCTGTGTTATTAATTTTATATTCTAATATTTTTTTTTAAAGTAGCTAAGGTTGTGGTTTTCTTCTTCTATGCAGGCTGTTAACATTCCCTTTCTTTTCCCAGGACTCAATCATACACGATAATTGGCTGAGTTCTAGATTCAGGGCTTGTGGGGTCACTTTTTTTTCCCCCACAGTGGGTGAGGTTCCCACCAACACCACGTTGATGCTGGGGAKCAACACAGCAACCCCTTCTCCCCATCCTGCCCTTGTGAATGGCAGAGATCCTGCACCAAAAACTCAAAAGCGTGGCTTTTGAGGGATAAATCCATGCAGCAAATGATTTCTGGAGATCCCTGCCCAGCGCTGGCATTTGGGCACAGCCCGTGCTGAATCTGCCACCTTCCCTCCAAGCTGGAGCTGTCTTCTTCTCTCCCAGCTGTGCCAAGGGCAGYGTTGATTTTTCTGGGCCCAAACAGTGCCATGGACTGTGAGAACCTTTAAAGGTGTGGGTTGGAGTTCAGAATTTTGGGACAGTTGGCCCAGTTCTGCCCAGTTTTGTGCTACCATTATAAAATGAGCACCACTAACACAACACAGTTCTCATCAAGAGTATAAACCCTTTTTTTTTTTTTTTGGCAGTTCTGAGCTATCCTAGGTAATGTTGCAGTAAAATCCAGCTGGAATTAATGCTGACCATGTTTTAGGTTTATTTATGCCAGTGACATAAAGCAGACCAGGGGATGACAGTCAAGATTCACCTCTGGTTCTCAGTCTTGGCACAGGCTCTTCTTGGGTTATTCCAACCCTAAAGGTTGTGAGTAATGSCTAGGAAAAATCTGGGAAGCAGCAGTGGCTGGTGGCTGTCCCAGATGAATGGTCTGGATAATCCCATCATRGTTTTGGTCAGGAGGAGAGCATAAGGGTGTGCCCATGGAGATACCATGAAGAGGCAATGTCACACTGCTGGGGACACAGAGGTGACCGAGATGCCACTGCTTTGATAGYTGGCATCACAYGGGCTGGGCTGAAAGGTTGGAGTGYTAAAYTAAACTAAACCCACTGAATTTACCTGCAGAGATACCCACTGGAAGCACCCCAGGCTGAACAAGTCAGTAAATGTGAGGAAATCCAATAGAAAATTTAGGAAAAGGCTGTATCCCACAAGGTCTGGGAAATGCTGTGTTTGACAGCTGTTTTGCAAGGTTTTTTTAGGTACTTTTGGGTAATTTTATTGCACTCAGACTGGAGAAATAAAGAGTTTCTGAGCTTTCCTTGCACTGGTCAGTACTTGCTGACTTCTAGGGAGCAGGTATGGAGAAACAGAGCTTTTCAGCTCAAATATATCCAAAGCCTTGGAGATTTGGGATTGTGTATAATAATAAAAACCCCTTTAGTCACCTATGGACACAACAAAACTACACCACAGAGGGAAAATCTCCCAACATGCCCACAAAAAAAGGTAAAAAAAAGAACTCTGAGGGCCTTGATTCTGTCATCTTCCTGTTCTGGGAGGAGAATCCTGCTATCCTGTGGAAGCCAGGCCTCAGTTTCTACATCTGTAAAATGAGGATAAATAACATGATCTCATTTTGTAGGAGGACTTCCATATTTTTAGGCTTTATTTGAAAAAGCTCTGAGTGCTTCTAATCACTTAACAGCCCAAAATGGAGCTAAGCATTAATCATTGCTGTCTGTATCAGAGTGGGATCAATTCAGTGCTTCAAGGTGGGAAACAGACTGAATTTCTGGAGYAAAGAAGGGATAAAGGCTGATTGTGAATCCCTGGATTCAGCCTTGTAATGAACCATTGGGTATTTATGGTCAGGATTTCTATCAAGCGGGAAATCTGAGTGGCATCACCTCGACACAATTCTGGACAGCTTCACACCTAGCTTCAAGCTGTGGGTTGACCACAAAATCCTAGAAAAATCTAGAAATCTAGCAAATCCTTTTAGGTTGAARTGCTGAGTCAGAGGGTGGTCATTGGTGGCACTTCATGACATTCAGTCAGTGAAAAAGGAAGGGACTGAGGCCAAATTTTGGCCCAAGGAGCATTTCCTCCAACTTTTTGCTTGTAGCCCCTCACCACACTGAGGGCAGCACCTTCCCTTCTACTCTCAGCTTCCAAAAACCCCTTTCATGAAGAACAAACTAACAAACACACTTTATTTCCAGAAGGATGTGCTCGTTTTTCCCCCTCTCCTGAAAAGGTTCCATCCCTCCTTTGTCATGAGCAGCCCAGAACTCCTTCCCCTGTCTCTCCCTCTGCCATCCCACCACTCTCACACATCTCCTGTGTGTTTTTTGCCATCTCTGCAGTTCACCTGTACAAGTGCGGGGCCATGCGGGACAGCTGCGGACTGTGCCTGAAAGCCGACCCCGATTTCGAGTGTGGCTGGTGCCAGGGACAGAACCAGTGCACACTGAGGCAGCACTGCCCAGCCCAGGACAGCCAATGGCTGGAATTGTCCAGCACCAAGGGCAAGTGCACCAACCCCAAGATCACAGATGTAAGTCGCGGATCGCCAAGTGTGGGGCGTTCCTTTTCCTTGGTTTGTTTTCCTGATTTGGGGTTGGGTTGGTGGTGGGATGGTCAGRGATGGGTTCTGCTGGGTCAGGAAAAGCCCAAGGGACTTTTGGAGATGTGTCATGGTTTGAACAGGATGGAAAGCTGTGGTGGCTTCAAAGGCATGAGCAAAATTTCACACATCTACAACCCAGCGGTGACCTTGGGTTAACGCCCAAGAATTCCCACCATAACCCACAAACACAGCCTTCTGGTGCAACCTGAGGGCCCCCAGAGCACCTGACCTGCCCAAAAAGGGCTGGCAGATGTGACACCAAGCCTTGAGGAGACCTTGGC